CTCCTCCACTTACTTTTAATGTCTCTGCTCTGCCAAGAACGGCAAAAGCATGCCTTCCTCCTCTCCAGCATTTTTCCCATATACTCCTCAACCTGATGTAATGAGAAACAGGCACATCTGTGACTGTCACATCTGCACTGCAGAATGGACTGTTATCCAGTTCTTAGGGATTTTTCAGAAATGCCACCAAGGCTAGAACATATAAGTGAAAGACTTGATGATATTAAAATTAAGACAGTAAACCACTGAGATAAATGAAAAACCTCCATTACTAACAATGGTTGGTAAGAAAGAAAGCTGCTGCATCGTAGATCACAAAAGAGTATCCTTCCTAAATAAAGAGTTCTTGAAATCAAAAAAGAACAACACAGGGTGTGGGTATGGGATACAGGAAGGTGGCACTGAGTGGTTAGTTGGGATGGTTACTAAACTTGAGTTTCAGCTTTTCTATAAGTAAAATGAGGATGATTATAGCACCTATGTCACTGACCTGTGAGGATGGAAGACTCACAATCAATGACCCAGTTTGCGTACCTGGCATATAGTGCTCAAGAAATAGTGACAGAAGTCACTGTTGATAAATATTATGATTACTTTTGTTAAAAAGTTGATCAGGCAGCAAAAAAGGAACCAAGCATTAGAACAGCCAGCAACTGGGATGGAGCTCCAGAAATTTATGCTGAGCGAACAAAGTCAACCTCGAAAGGCAATATGCTTTGTGGTTCTGTGTATATAATCTTCTCAACACAATAAAATGTGGAGATAGAGAAGAGCAAATTAGTGGTCTCCAGGTGCAGTGACTATGAAGTGGCAGCAGGGGAGAGACAGTGGGACAATGGAACAGCTCTATGTCTTAACTATAGTGGTAGCTTCATGGACTTACACTGGGGACAAAGTGCACAGAACTATACACACATGTATGCACTGGCACACACGCACTGGTGAGATCTGAGTAAACTGTGTACTGTACCAAAGCCCCCCTTCCAATTCTGTGTTATATCACAGACATGCAGGATGCTGGGGGACTGCGGCGTGGTGGGGAACAGAACCTCTCAATACATTTCTTTGCGTTGTTCTATGAATCTATGATGATTTCAAAATAAAAAGTTAGCCCTGACTGTTGTGGCTCAGTTGCTTGGGCATTGTCCCGCAAAGCAAAAGGTTGACAGTTTGATTCCCAGTCTTGGAACATGCCTGGGTTGCGAGCTTGCTCCCCAGTCAGGGTATTTTTGAGAGGCAACCAATCAATGTTTCTCCCCCTCTCTTTCTCCCTCCCTTCCCCTCTCCCTGAAAATAAAATCTTAGGAAAAAAAAATTTAGCTAAACTAAAAAGTTGGTCAATCCACTCCCCACAAGAAAGAAATGAAAAAGGGGGCTCAATATAGTAAATGGGAAATTCATCAAAAAGAACTCTACGGCCCCAGACAGTGTAGCTCTCGGCTGGGCGACTTCCCGCAAACTTAAAGGTCACCAGTTTGACTCCTGGTACGGCACACGCCTGGGCTGCAGGTTTATACTGAGGTTGGAGTACATATGGAAGGCAGCTGATCAACGTTTCTCACATCGATGTTTCCCTCCCTCTCTTTCTCTCTCAGGTCCTCTGTCTTGAAAATCAAAAATACATATATTTTTTAATTAAAAAAAAAAACAAAACTCATATGGTCCATCAGCTTTTGAAAAGGTAATTACTCATTGTTAATCAAGTAAGTGCCCATTCAAATGACATGTTCCTTTTCACCAATTAAATGGGAAGAGATTTTAAAAGATACAGTACTGGTCAAGCAGTGAGGACCTTTCATGGTGAATGCAGGTCCATGGCCAGCCTAGTGGCTTCCCCAGAGAACAATCACATACACCTGCGCAGCATCCCTACAAAGATGAAACATGGAAACCATCCCTCCTAAGTGTTAGTGTTTCACCAAAGCATATGTTACATTGACACAAACCAAGAAAGCTGTGGAGAACTTAAAATTAGAGACACTTTCTTTGGTCTGACAACGAGCACTCCCTGATGTCTCATGTGGCCTTGAACCCTGTAGTGTTTGGCAGAGTATGCACTATCACTTAGAGATCTGTGCCTCAGAGTTTCCCCAAACGGAAAGACTGCAAAAATTTTTCTTGTTTTAAACATCTTTCAATCTAGAGAACTAGAAAGCCTCTCTGCCTGGCCTGGCACTGGGTGGTCGCCAAATGCTTCTCTGACACCATTTTTAAAAAAAGGATTTTATTTATTTATTTTTAGAGAGAAGGGAAGGGAGGGGAAAAAAGAGAGGGAGAGAAACATCGATGTGGGAGAGATACATTGATCTGTTGCCCTTCACACACCCCAAACTGGATACCTGGCTGGCAACCCAGGCATGTGCCCTGACTGGAAATCGAACCGGTGGCCCTTTGGTTTGCAGGCCGGTGCTCAATCCATTGAGCCACACCAGCCAGGGCCACATCATTTCTTAAAAGCAGAGATGGTCTGCCCAGTTGGCGGGAGTGTTGTCCCCAGTACTCCATGGTTGTGGGTTTAATTCCTGATCAGGGCACACACAAGAGGCAACCAATGAATGCGTAAATGAGCGGAAAAACAAATGGATGTTTTCCTCTTTCTTTTCCTTTCTCTTCCCCCCTTCCTCTCTCCCGAAAAAAATCCATTAACCATGGCTGGTGTGGCTCAGTGGATTGGGTGCCAGCCTACAAACCGAAAGGTCGCCGGTTCAATTCTCAGTCAGGGCACATGCCTTGGTTGTGGGCCAGGTTCCCGTTGGGGCGTGTGAGAGGCAACTGATCTCTCACATAGTGATGCTTCTCTCCCTCTGTGTCTTCCTCTCTTCCCCTCTTTCTAAAAATAAATAAATGAAATATTTTTAAAAAAATCAATTAAAATTTTTTTTTAAAAAAGGGCAGAGATGGCCCAGACATCCTGGGCAAGGCTGTCTCTAGACCCCAACAGTCCCCTCAGCTACCATTTCAGTTACTTTCAGAGACACCTCCTATTTTGGGCCAGGCCACTGATTTTCTGATAGAAGTGCCTTTTTGAAATAAATTTAAAGAGAAGCAAGTTGACTTCATGTACCAGGACATACAAGGAGGGGCGAGGGAGAGATTGTGGCTGGCAAAACCATTTGTAAACTCTTGATAAATGGTAGTGTCCCCCTTAAGCTAACATGGCCTCTCTAGAAGGAGGGTGGCCTTCTGATGAAAGGGGGGTTTGGACAAGACCCTCCCAGTCCCAAGTGGTCAGGGCAGGGCCAGAGGGAGGGCAGGGGCTGTAGCAACCACGGAAAATCAATCTGCGAATATTTACAAGGGCTCCTACTGAGGCTGGGCTGGGTGTGCACTGGGAAGCCAGTCCAGGCACGGGGTGTCCTGGAGGGGACCCGTACCCTGGGCCATGGCTTTGGCTACTTAGGGCTGCTGGCCCCATAAGTGGACACCAGATAAGGAAAACAGCACAGGGCACAGGCCAAGGGGGAGATGAAGGCACATCTGTGCCAACTCCTCCAGGAAGACCCCAGGCCCTGACCCTCTGCCTGAGGCAACGAAGTGGCAGCATCTTAGCCCTTGCGGGCTATTTCAGAAGGGAAGGGATGTGGGGATTTCCACACCTCAGGGAGGACTCTAGCTGGCCATGCTGCCACTTCCTCAGGCAGAGAGGAAGGCCAGTGCAGGGCAATGGCATCGGCAACGCAATGTTCCTCCCTTCGGGGTAGCAGCGTGGACATAAACCACCCCCTTGAAACCCTTCCTCCTCCAGCCAGAGCTAACTGGATATCCCAACGGATTTCAGAAATGACTTTAAGATAGAATTTTCTGTCCTGGATCTCAATGGCATGGAAGGACATGTTGCTAATCACGGAATTCCAGAAAGATGCCAAAGTCCACAGAGAGTACCAGAAGTGCTGGAGACTGAAACAGTCAACCTTCCCAAAGGCTCCCCCAAAATCCTCCCAAAAGCCAGAGTGGATTCCCCCACATGCACATGGCAACTCTCTACTCAAAGTCTTCTAGGGTTCCCACCTTCCTTGGGGCAAAAGCCCAAGTCCTCATCATAGCACACAAGGCCCTGCATGACCCGCCCCATCCCCTCCCTGCCCTAACATCCTCCCTCTTACCCTGTCATGCTCACTCTGTTCCAGCCACATGAACTTCCTCCCTTTTTCTCCGTGTTATACCCCAGGCAAGGTCCTGCCCCAGGACCTTTGCACATGCTATTCCTCCTGCCTTGAACTCTCTGCCATGTCTCCTTGGAGACCATCCCCACCTGGCCTGGCTTTGTGGAAGCCCCTCCCCACTGCTGTTTCGTGACCCCTGTTGTAGGTGCCTTCAGGCCATACTGTCCATCCTCCCACAGCCATGTCATCAGCATTCAGTGCCAGGTAGATGTACCCAGTTTGAATGCTCAAAGTTCCAATAACCCTCTGAATCCCCCTGTATACCGTTAAGGGCCTAATACATGCTTGAATGTAAATAGGAGCTGTGCCTCTCCCAAGGCTTGTGGGACAGGCAAGATCTGTCAAGAGCTGGGGTTCCACATCACGCCCCTGCTGGGCTTCAGTTTCCTCTTCAGGGATGAAATGGAGACCCAGGACCCCACTGAGGCAAAGAGGACCTCAAAGACTCAAGTCCCTTTCTCACACAGGACCCCCATTTGACTGATACAGATGCTTCCCATCTCCAGGCCAGGGGCCTGGGCTCCAGGTGCAGGACAGATGCTATGCTGACCTCCAGGCTCCCTCCGTTATACTCAACGCAGGTCTTGTGACTGTCACAGCAGCTGGTTCTCAGGCTCACTGCCCCCCACCCCCACTCCAACGGCTGGATCTGGGCGCTGCCTCCCTCCCCCAAAACCTCCTCCTCTGGCACCCTGTCCATGAGCCTGCATCCAGCCTCAGCCCCACTCCACCTTCTAGATCTGGTGCTGCACACTGTTCCTGTTCTGCTCCAGCCCACCCTCTGCACACTCTCATCTTTTTGTGCAAACTCACAGCCCCAAGGCGGCAGAGTCCTACCTGAGCCTCCAAACTGGGTGCCAGCCAGGGAAGTGGGCCGGCCTTTCCCATTGGCCACCGGCAGGGGGAACATCTGTGGGGAGGGAGAGAGTGGTGAGTGGGGTGGGGGGGCACATCCGGGGATGCAGCTCTGCCTACAGGTCCTGTCCCATCAGAAGGCCAAGGCAGGAAAAGGCAGCCAGGGGTCCCTTCACTGCACACCACCTTAACTGAAAGCCCCTCTGACAGCACAGCCCACCAGTGGCAACAATATCCAGTGGAAGTTAAAATCGTTTACACCAGGCTTGTATTTTGCCCAATGGAATAACTTATTTAGTACTTGATACAATTTATCTGCTCTTAGACTTGATATAAAGTTTCAGCTTTAGAAGGTGAGACCACTTATACCTAACAGGTAGATAGGGCCTAGCATGCTACCATGCACAGAGATCTTTCCTGACAAACCCGGAGTCACCTCCTGTATGTATCCTTGACCCTGAGTGGCAGGGACATGGGGAGGACATCCAGGCCCCGCACTGGGACAGAGAGCATGACCCAGGCGCAGTGTCCCTCACATGCTGAGCTCTGTGCTCAGCAGCTGCCTGAGCAGCCCTCACCACACCATAAGTGCTGATGCCTGCCCTTCAGAAGGGGAAACTGAGGCTCAGGGAGGCAGGAAGCTGGAGGAATTAGGGAGCAGCTATACCCCCACCCTGTGGTTTATTGGGTGGTTCCCTGGGTGTCACCCTGCCTGCTCAAACACTTGGTGTTAAGTCCCTACGGATTAAACAGCTTAGCAGTGTTAACAGGAAAACCCAACATCAACAAATCCTTTGCCACAAAAAACAAACACATGTCCTTGCCGTGCCCCACAGATCTGGGTTTTACAGATCTGTTTTGGGCCCAAGTGAATAAAAGTGGCCAGAATTGGGGTAAGTGGTTTGTTGGGGAATGGCTGATGGAGATGCAGCTCTCACCTGCGGGTGACTCTCATGTGGGCACCATGAACCCTGGGAGGGGCCTGGGAAGTAGGGTCCTGCCCCCTCATGCTCCATTCTGCAGGAGGGGAAACTAAGGCCACATGCTCCACTGGTCCTGGTAGGAGTTAGAGCAGAGACTCATGGGAGGGATGGCAATGGGTTCTCATAGTCTGTGCCCCTCTTGGGGGTGGTGTGGTGTGCGCGCGCCCGTGTGTCTATGCTCCCTGACCTGGGCCAGCATCCCCAGGGCCCTATTCTCCAAAATGGGTTCCTTTTTCATTAGGGAAACTGAGGTCTATGTTAGCGGAGGGGCTGGCCTGAGGCAGGACCAAAACCAGAAGGACCCCAACCAATAGGACCCCAGACCTGAAGGTCAGCAGCCAAGTCTCTGGGGTTTGTCTTTGTTTTGTCCCCTAAACTGCCAGGGGTTCTGCCACCGCACTTGCCAAAGGGGCAATGGGCTGTGCCCTTTGAGCACTGTAGGACTCACCATCAACCCAGACAGGCCACACCCTCCTGGAGCCTCAATATTCTATTCTGTGAAATGGGCTTGGGGTTTTGAATACATGGGATGTTGTGAAACTCCAACTCACACAGATATTTAGGGCATGTGGGAGCCTCCACACACACCAGGCTCACAGCAGCACCCAGGCTGGTCACAGACAGGCATTGCCCAACCACCTTGTCCTCCCAGCCCCTCTTTAGACAGAGGAACCATCTCGGGACCACTCAGGGAACATCACTCAAACTGCTCTCAACACCTTCCTTTTCTAACCTAGAGAGTTTCTTTGTATTTAATTTTGACTGCTGTCTTTCTGACTTTTGAGAACCTAGCCCAAAGACCTGCTTCCCTTTAAGTTTCTTCCGTTTCAGTCTAAAAACAAGGTCTTTGAAAGAATCCGATGAACTCAGTTTCTCTGAGGCAGGTGAGGTGAGAAGGGGCGCTATGGAGAGAATGTGAGCTGAAATGGGAGGCTGCCTCTGCGCTGTTCTCCAGTAACAAGAAGGGAGGATGAAAATCAGGCTCTGAGATTCTGAGAGAGGACAATGGGCATCTCACTCTCTCAGCCTGTTTCTTCTGTGAAATGGGTTACTGGTTTTTAGCTGGGGAGGGGGATGTTCAGACTCTCTAGACAGAAAGGGAGGCAGCCCTGACTGGTATGGCTCAGCTGGTTGAGTGTGGTCCCCAAAGTGAAAGGTTGCAGGTTCGATTCCTAGTCGGTGCACGCACATGTGAGAGGCAACCAATCGATGTTTCTCACATCATTTCTGTCCCTCTCTTTCTCCTTCGTTCCCCCTTCTAAAAATAAATAAAATCTTAAAAAAAAAAAAAGAAGGGGGATTTGGACAAGTTGTTCAGGGCTCTCAGATGACAGAGAAGAGACCAGCTCTAAACCTGTGCTCCCCAACCCCCAAGTGAATCTGTTCTGGCCCAGTAGTCTGTGACTTGTCAGTTTAACAAAAAAAACAACTGAGCTGTACCCCTAGTTACTCAGCCAGGGAGGCAAAAATAAAACAGGGCTTAAAAATACGGGCCCGGCCCTTCCCGAGGTGTAGGTGCACTGTCTCAAGGGCTGTGTTTTTCCGCAGGATGGCTGATGTTTCAGTTTGGGGACTTGTTTTTCATCAGCTTCAGTAGACTGGGTCTGGTACTAGTGGAGGGTTAAAATCAGACCGAAAGAGTCCTCCCCCAACTTGTTTCAAACCAAAATGGTGCTTGGGTGGGGGAAGGGGCGGGACTTAGGGAACTGTCCACACTGGGTTGGTTTGTGAGGAAATGCTGATCACCTAGACACTCGTGACATGTGGCCCATTGTGCAGATGAGCAAACCAAGGCCTGTGGTCCAAGGTGCACTCCAGCTCTCAGCACCTAAGGGAGCTCTGCTATGGTTTCTGAGCTGTGACTTCTGAAAGCCAGCACCCTCTCTGAACCTCCACCTGATTCTCAGAGAAATGGGCCATTCAAGTTGGATCAAACCACCTGAAGTATAAGGATCCCTACCTCTCCCCATGGGGCCCACCTCTCCCCGAAAATAACAATGGCAGTGATGGCTAAGTGCTGCCCACAAATTCCCACACTCCTCATGAGGTGTCTTCATGTCAACTGACTACACTAGCCACTGTGTGGCTAGATAAATAATTAGACCATGAATACTGCCTTGCTTTTTTGTTTTTGTTTTAAATCCATGATGTAGCAAATAACACTGATCCAACTCATTTTATGGATCAGAAGGCCAAGGTCACTGTGTGCACACAGCCAAGCAGGGGCCTCAGAGCTGAGCCTCCCCTTGAAAACACTGGAGGCTCTGGGTAGCCCCTCCCACTCTTTGGGCCTCAGTTTCCCCACCTGTATAGTGGTAGACTGAACCCATTCTGTGCCTGAGCAAACGCCTGTGTGACAGGTGCCTTTGGAACCCAACAACGGCCCCAGTTACGCATACTGCCATGTCAGCCTGCCCTTCAGAGCGACACCCCGATTCCCACAGTCCCACCTGGGGGCCCCTCCATCCAAACAAATGTTAGGCCTAGCTTCTGAGGGTATTTCAGTAGGTACTTCTTTCCTAGGAATCCTGGGAGTACGAGGGGTGTCTGAGAGGCCAGCAGAGCCTGGCTTACCATGCTGAAGTCCAGGAGGTCACTGAGCTCCTTGTCCGTGCCCACAGGCGCCATCCTCTGCGGCTGGTTCATTCTCCAGCTGCAATGGTGGGCTCAGGGGCCAAGGTGGATATCTCAGTCCTAGAGATGGCCCTGTGTGGTAGTCTGAGGTGGCGGATGGTGATAGTAGACACAGGGAAGGGCAGGGACAGACACATACAGAGAAAAAGGAAAAGAAGAAAAAAGGTTTTTGTGACTGTGGCCCAAGCAGGCAGATGGGGAGTAGGAGAGCTGTTTGAAACACCCTTCTAACTACCCTGAGAGACTGGGTCCCCCTAGACTGAGTCCCTTCGTGACCCTGGCTATGGGGACACGGCAGCAAGAATGCCAGGATTTGGGACCCCTGGAGACCCCTCTCCCCAGAGCAATGGGGGTTTGAACAATGAGAGAGGGGAAATGAGCAAATACAGATTTCCTAATTCCCTCTGAGACCACCAGGGACTCAAGCTACAAATTTTAAACTGGAAGCAGAGCTGGAGCAGTCACTTCTCCACTTGCTGGGCCAGAACCTGTCCCCCTCAGGTCACATCTCCCATTTCTAACCACTCCCAGGCCTACCCAGCCCCAGCAACCAGAGGAGATTTGCTCACCCCCTCCCCCAAGCAACTGTCACAGCTGGTTGAAGTCTTGGTCACCCCCAAATTCAAAATAAATCTTCAAGAAGGCAAAGCCCCTGCCTGCTTCATGATTGAATTAATAGGAACCCAGCACAGGACCTATCCTCAAAGCTCCCCGTCATCTCCTCCCCCTTCAAGAAACAACCCAACTCAGAAGAGAAAAAAACCACCCTAGGTTGTTTTATTGTCACGTTGTATCCGGGAATTATTTTTAAGCGACTTTGAAAACATCCCCTCTCCCGCCCCTGGGGGAAATGGGTTCCTAGACTAGGGTCCCCCCCTCCATGGTCCCAGGGGCTACATTATATTCTAGAATGGGGGTTGGGGACCACCTGCCAAACCCCATTCCACTCCACCCCACCCCCAGAAAAGGGCGCAGAACTAGTCTTCCTTGCTCTGTAGACAGACAACAAAGTCCCTCTGGCTTCCTCCCTGGGTGCCAGGATGGTGGTGGGATGGCCGTGGGGACACTGCGGGGAAAGGGGGTTCCGAGGCCGAGGGAGACCCAACTTCAGCGCTGGAGAAACCCCCGCTTTGTTTGTCAACTGGAGGCTGGGTGTGAAACGGCTGCCCCTGAGCACACCCTCCCCCGCTGACTTTTTTTTTTTGGGAGGGCATGTGAAACTGACTTTTTTGAATACGAAACCGCAATTTTTTGTGGGATAGTTGAAACCAATTTTTAAGACAGACTGGGGTGGGTGGCTGAAACAGGCTCTTATAGGGGACCTGAGACTTCTGGGTGTCACAAAGACTTTTAGGGACTCGTAAGGTGTTCCGAACCATTTCAAAGGAAGGGGGGCACGGGACGTCTTCCTTTGAGGGGGAAGCCCGAGAAACCAACCGCCCACCCCCCGCAGCCGGTGCAGGCGGCGAGGCCCGGGAGCCCTTTGAAGCTGGGGCGCCACCACTCCGCTGTTCGCAACCCCGAGCCGCCGCTGCCGCCTCTCCCCCATTAACGCGGAGCAGATGTTCACTCCACAGTTCCCCCGGCCCTCAACCTGAGCCTCAGTTTGCGCGGCCGCACCTTCCCGGCTCAGACAAAAGGACTCTGCCTCCCTCACACGCTCCCCCTCCAAACTCTAGCGCCCCGCCGTGCTTCTCCCGGGGGAGGGGGCGCCCTGAGGACCCCGCCACAAAGTTGGGAGGCCCCTCGGGCGCCCCCTGCACCCCCTCCCAGGGCTCCGGAAAGTTTCCCGAAGTGGCCGGCCCGACCGGGGAGGGGGCGCGCGCGGGCCTCGCGTGCACCAGACCCTACACGTCGCCCGCCCCAATGCCCGGCGACCAAAGTTGGAGAACAATGACTCCCGGCCGCCGCCCCGCGCCTGGCCCGCAATGGGGCCGGGGGCGGGGGGGGGCAGGAAAGCACCCCGGAGCACCGCCCCCTCCCCAACTTCCCGGCCCCCACGGTGCGGGGAAGACCGGGGCAACTTTGCACAAAGACACAGGGCCACCAAAGCCACACGGCCCCCGGTCCCGTTGCAGTTACCTGCTCAGAGCGGCCCAACCGCAGCGCACGGGGAGCGGTACACGTACGGACCCCCCCCCGGACAAAGGGGCGCCAGCTGGCCCCGAGGGTCGCGCGTGGGCGGCGCGTGGCCCAGGCCCCTCCCCGCGTGCCCGCCCCGCGTGCCCGCGCGTGTTCGGGGCACTGGCGGAGGCGTCCTGCTCGGAGTACGCGGTGCCGCCGCGTCTAGTCGGCTCTGCCCGGCCCGCTACGTCCGCGGGCGCCGCCACTGCCTCATCTTCCTGCGGCGGGAGACATGTTCCGTCCCCCACCCGTGCGCCGGACACGCCCACTCCAGGGCCCGCCCACGGCCCGCCCCGTCCGGCGCGGCCGCGAATCCCTCCGCCGTCGCCACCGCCCCGGCGGTCCTCCTCTCCCAGCTTGACTGCCCCGCACGCTCGCAAGAAGCCGTTGTTGCGTCGCGGGGCCTGGAGTCTGGGGGTGGGGACGCCCTGGGAGTCCTCCTGCAAACGGCACGGGTTAGTGGGCAGGGACTATCTTCCAACGCGGAGGCGCACACGGATAGGGTTCGTAACACACATGACGCAAGGGAGAAAGGGCCGAGAGATGGTAAGATAAGGCAGAGCGGTAGTGGCCAATCGGAGGGCGCGAAAGCCTGATTGGCGGCGCGACTGAGCTTTCGTGAAGAGGCCACTCCCTCTCTCGGCTGACTGCGAAGAAAGAGGCGGGACTCTTCGAATTAGAGTCCTCGAGAAACAGCGGGGGTGGGTTTTGCATTTTTATTCTCAGGTTTGCGTAGGCGCCCGCGCGGCCTCTCGGGCTTGGTCGTGTCTGCGTTCCTAGGGCTGTCCATGGTGTTGGGTGTTGCGAGAGGGCAACCAAGGCCCAGGTCCAGGACCAGCGAGTGAAAGCCATTTCACGGGCAGGGAAACCGAGGTCAGCTCTGTTTCAGTGTCAGAAAGCCCCACGTGAGACCTGCGCTGTGTCTCTGACTCGCTGGGTCTCAGTTTCCCAATCTGTAACATGGAATTTGGACCTAAGTTTGGACAGACCTAAGGATAGATCAAGCCTGCTGATTCTCTTAGTAGGTCCAAAGTTTCCCCCACAGCAAGAGGATTTTGAAGACCACAGACCCTACAGAATGGGAATAATTACTATTATAAATTAAATAACATTCTTTCATGGCTACCTGTGTCCCCATGGAGAGAGCTACACTGTTTCCAAGCCTGAGAAGAGGCTACCAGCCCCTTGGCCCATGGAGGTCTGGACACAAGGGCGTCCGCACTGTTCTTGAACCTGACAGGCTCATTCTCATGTCTGAGCCTTTGTCCTTACTATACCCCCTGCCTGCAATGCCCTTCCACCCCCACTTGAAGCCCCTGTATCAACCCATAGTTTAGGGCTGCTTCCAGGCAAGGGAGCTGGGCTGAAAGGAAGAAAAGTAGGGAAAGGGGAGTGAAGAAGACCCCAGGAAAAAGGAAGGGTATCCTAATAAAATCACAAGCCCCTCCTAATACACCCAAAGTAGGCTGCCACCCACCCTGACACAGCCTTCTGGCCCGAAGAGTCCCCTACATACCCTAGGCCTTGGGAGAGGAGTGAGGGCCATGGGGTCTAGGTTTGAATCCCTCAACCCTCCCATTTCACTGTGACCTTGGGCAAATTCTTGCCACGCCCTGGGCCTCAGTTTCCCTGTCAGGGAAATAGAAGGGTGCAGTGAGGGGCACAGTGTAGGTGCCCATAGCTACTGTCTGCATTCCTAGGCCTCTTCCCACTAATGGACCTGGTATTTTTGAGTGAGGGCCCATTCCTGGGGGCCCAACCCTGACCCCACAGACCTGGTAAGGGACATCAGGTTTCTGGAGTCCCAGCTTCACTCAGGGTGGGCCTGGCCCCCAAGGCTATGAGTGTAAACCATAGAGTTGGGCATTGTCCCTAGGGTGGCCCTAGACATACCCCAGAAGGGGGTGAATATTCCATTCATGGACTATACAGTTACTGAGCACCAACTATGTGCCAATCTTGGTGTTGGGCATTGGGACACAGTGGTACCTGTGACCTGTCCAGCTCTGCCCTTCAAAGCAGTCTGGGCCATCAGAGCTTCCCCGTTAGTCCCAAATGTGACAGTTTCCATCCACACATTTCCTATGCAATCCTTATACCTGGGTGATTAAACCCATTGTCCAGTTGAAGAAACTGAGGCTCAGAGAGCTCCTCCCTGGGGGTCAGGCCAGTCCACCCTGAGGCTCACACCTGCCAAGAGGCCTTCCTGGCACCCACAAGCCACCATTGTTCTCCCTGGGGAGGCCTGCTGCGGGGCTGAGTCACTGGGTGGAGCAGCCTGTGGGGGCTCCCAATAGGCTGCCACCTCTGCCCAGCCTCAAGGCTACAGGGCCTTGGCACAGGGACAGGCAGCCAATAGCTGGCTGATGCTGGAGGGCCCTCAAGGGAGGCCTACAGCCCACCCCCCACCCTTCCTCCACCCCCTCCCCCACGGCCTGACTTTGGCCTTTGTTCTCTGGGTGCCTCAGGCTGGAGCCCGAGAGCTGCCTCCCCAACCTGCTGCCTCCTTCCACCCCAGCCACACCTACTGTGCTTGTCCTAGGCTGAGAACCCCTCACTGAGAGAGGTCACCCCTTTTCTGGTTGGTAAAACTAATGCCAGGGACAGATTCCCACCAATTGGTGGCGATGGTGGCGGGGGTTGGGGGGCGGGAGCATGTGGCATAGTGGTAAAATCTTCCAGAAGACAGACCCAGTACGTGTTTGGGCTATGGTTGTCCACAGAGAGAATATAACTGGACTTAGGACATCAGAGCCACCCTCTTGACATCCATTTTCATTTGTCTTCAAAGTGGTGCTTTTTCCTGGGATGCGAATAGACCCCCTCACTCTCCCACCCCACCTAGCTCGTCTCTGCATTTCAAAAGATGTGGCAGGAGAGAGAAGCACTTATCATTCAAGCCAGACCCTTCTCACACACCTCATTACCTCATCTCAGTGTGCGCTCCTGCAGGGGTGATGGTTGCCTCTGGAGCTGGTGGCTTCTTGGTCCATGCCACCCCTATGGGAGGGCCTGACCCTGACAAGTCCATGTTCACCATGACAACCGCCACCCCCCTCCCCCATCCCCTCTGCCTGGATCAAGTCTCATTCAATTCATTCATTCACTCATTTGTCCCTGGGAAGAAGGTTCCTCCTGGGGCTGCTAGTTGGTCCTGGGGTCGGGTGTCTCCCTAGAGATGGTATGGGGAGGCTTATTATCCTTTGCAGATGAGGGAGGGGATGCTGTCCATGGTGGGCGTTCAGTAGATGGTAAAGCAGCAGTTTCACCAGCCACTCCCCCGCCCCCCCCCCCGCACCTGACTTCTCTGGCACTCCCAGGTGTGACTATAAGGAAGGGAGGGGACCCAGGGATGCTTTGACTCCTGCCCCTCACCTGGGACTTGTCCTGGAGAGCAGGTGGCCCATGAAAGCTGGGCGGGGGCCTCCGAGGGTGATCAGAGCCTCTGCCTCATGCCTCCCATTGTCAGGTGTCAGATAAAGATCTAGAAGGGTCTCTGAATGTATCCCACAGGACTCCAACCTACCTGGGACGGGTCCCCTGGCCCAGCGACATTGGGTGTGACTGGAAGGAAAAGTGACGCTGATGAACAAAAAGCAAGGACGACTCTAGGCAGGAGAAGAGCAGGGGCGAAGGTGGGGAGGTGGGAATACACAGGGTGCAGTTAAGAAAGCTGTGAGGTGGGAGCCCACAGAATGGAGGCAGAAGGGCGAAGGTCAAAGGGCAGGGCCTTGGCTACCACAGGGAGAGGTCAGATTTTAATGGTGGGGCATTAGGAAGCCATGGTGGAGATCTGAGAAGGAAGGGAAATGATCCCAGTAGCTTCGTGCAGAGGAGGGTTCAGAGGGGAGGAGGGATGGTCCCTGGGGGAGAGAAGGCAGGTCATGGGCAGATGAGTCAGGTGAATTTGGAATAGATTTGAGGGGGAACTGAAGGGTCACCCTAAGTGGGGTGAGGAGACAGCCACCAATCAGTGTGGAGTGTGGGGCTGGGGACCTGCATGAATTAATAATAGTGCCCTTTTCCCAGCAAGGATGTCTTACAGCCAGTGATGGTAATGAAAAGGGCTGGCTGGGGGGACGGTGCCAGGGAGCAGTGAGTGAATGAATGAATGAAGAAACACCGACCTGGATGGAACCCAAACCCAGGCTGAGCCCCACTCTGGACTGAGCCAGACCACGGAACTGCCTTTCTACGCGGTTCCCCCACTTGCCCTGTGCCCATCCATCCCCAGGGCCCAGGCCACCTGCCAAGGGCAGCTCCTTGCCCTCCTGGCCCAGAGCCCCATGTGGCCCGTAGCTCCGGACTCAGGGACCCCAGGGTCTGTCTCACCACATTTGGGGCAGCCAGTGCAAACATAGGGCACTTTCCCTCCTTCCCTCGTGTGCACTGTCTGGCCCAGTTCCCTGGGGGTAGGGGTAGGAGTGGGAAGGGTAGGCAACAGGGAGCCAGGCTGGATTCCTGCTGCCCACATACCCACCCACAGGGTGGCCTCGCTGACCTCTGCTCATGGTGACATGGAAGGCACTCCGGTCCTCCCTGGACCCCCTTCTTCTGAGACTTCTCCAGATGCCCTGAGCTTCTCGCAGGAGTCACCCCGCTGTTCAGACGGGGAAACACAGGCTCAGGCCCCCACCTGAAGCTGGCGAGGCTCCCACACTGGATTCACCTGGCCTCCCAAGCTCCTTCACCTGCTCCCTGGTGCCTTCCAGAAGTGGGGGAAGGGCATTCCGGGCCACCAGCACCTGCCAGGCTAAGAGGTGTGGGTGGGTCTTACTCAAGAGCCTTGGGGGAAAGCCAGGAGGGTGATGTGGTCTCACTGGGGACATGGGAGCTGAATGAAAAATGCTGAGTTGTTCCTGGGCTGGTGAGGGTGATTGGAAAGAGGGCACAACTTGGGTAAAGGCTGGGTGGTTGCTTGGCACGCCATCCCCTGGGTATGCTGAGGGCCATAGAAAGCCCCTGGCAGTTAGTGATACTAACCCCAATCCCAGCCACCCTGTCTGG